AAGGTTCACAGGTTCGGATATGGCACAGATCTAGCACCACTCATCAGGCCACACTGTGGTAGCATCCCACACAAAATAGAGGAAGACTGGCATAGATGTTAGCTCAACGACAATCTTCCTCAAGCAAAAGGGGGAAAACTGACAACAGATGTTAGCTCAGAGATAATCTTCCTCACCAGGAAAAAAAAAGCAATTGTCAGGCAGCCAGTGTGAAGACATTAGGAGCTCCGCAGAAACAGATAAGTAAGGAACCCTGGGCCATCCTCTACATTTCATATCTTCTGAAAACTGAAGAGGGTCTATGCACACATCAAGGCAGTCGTTCTATCATTTCCATTACTCCACTCCTAGCAACTCAAAGGGCAGGGTCCTCCTTGTCAGTCTAGGCCTTTCTCTGTATCCATACCAATCCCTGCTCAAGAGGATGTCAATAAAGAGAGGGCTCAGGTTCCCGCCTATCAGGGAGATTTCATGACCCAGCCACAACTGTTAAGATTCACATTTCTCACTCAATTATCTTCCTGCCAACCAGATCTCAAATCCAGGGTCCAGAGAGTTAAGCCCCAGGCTCCGTAGCTGCTTCTTCCTCTTTCCCTCCTAACTCGCATATTACAGCCTTGTTACTAACAGTGTGGTTCCCGAACTAATTCTACTGAATTAGAATTGGCAATTTAACAAAATCCCCCAGTGAATCATCTGAAGGTTAAAGACAAGCATTGGTCTATCAGACTGGCCTCAGTTCTACTGAGGTATCCCCTCAGCCATCTTTCTCCGACAGGAAACAGCTGCTCTCCGCTTTGCTCTGCACACCCCCTCACGAATGCCATCTCCTCTCCAGACTCCTGCATACTAACTGGCCTTCTGAGCTCCTCTATTTCCCTCTGCCCATCCACCTAGAAACCCAAGGGCTGCCCATTCCCACACAGGACAGTGACTGCTATGATTCTTGACGAGGTACCTGGCCCACCTACTTGTACCTCTGAAGACAGCTTCCAAAGCCAAGAGACAGCATTTCTCACCATCAGCTGAGGCCTCCTTTAATTCCTCTCAGTAATGTTTTATAGTTTTAGTGTACATGTCTTAGACATCTTTGGTTGAATTAACCCCTAAGTATTTCATATTATTGATCCTATTAAAAATAGAACTTTAAGAAATTTTTTAATTTCCAATTTTTCATTGCTAGTAGGTAGAAGTACAATTGATTTTCGGATATCAGCCTTCTGTCCTTCAACCTTGCCAAACTCACTTATTAGTTCTAGTAGCTTTTTTTGTAGATTCCTTAGGATTTTATACATAGAAGTCATATAGTCTGAGAATAAAGACAGTTTTTACTTCTTCCTTTCCATTTGAATGCTTTTTTTTCTATCGCTTGATTGTACTGGCTAGAATCTCCAGAACAATGTTGAATAAAATGGATGAGCAGGAACATTCTTACCTCATTCTCAGTATTGGAGGAAAAGCATTTAGTCTTTCACCACTAAGAACGAAGTTAGTTCAAAGTATCTCCTAGATGTTCTTCACCAGATTGAGAACGTCCTCTTCTATTCCTAGTTTGCTGTGAGTTTTTATCATGAATGGTGGCAGACTTTTATCAAATGCATTTTCTGCATCTATTGAAATGATGGCATTTTATTTAAATACAGTGTTTAGTCTGTTAATATGATGAATTATATCAAATTACTGTTCAAATATTAAACCAACCTTGCATTGCTGGGATAAATCCCATTTGCTTATGTTGTATTATCCTTTTAATATGTTGCTGGATTCTATTTGCTAATATTTTGTTGATTTTTTTCAACTATGTTTGTGAGAAGTGTTAGTCTATAGCTTTCTTTTCTTATAATGTCTTTTCCTGGTTTTGGTATTAGGGCAATGCTGGCCTCATAGAATGAGCTGGAAAAGGTTTCCTCCTCTTGCATTTTCTGGATGCGTTTGTGTAGAATCAGGATTATTTCCTTTAATGTTTAGTAGAATTCATCAGTAAATGAACCCATCTAGGCCTCCATATATTCTCAACATGCCTCTTAATATGTCCAAAAAGAAACTAAACTTAACATGGCCAACCAAAACTAATAATTTTTGCAATAAAACACGCTATTCCCCACTATTCCTCATCTCAGACATCATACTCATCCATTTTGCTTAAACCAGAATTAATATCCTTGATTCCCATTTCACTCACCTTTCTCCTCAAATCCATCTTTAAGTCCTATTAGCTCTACTTTCAAAATGTATCCCTACTTCTGAGATCTTTACTATCACCTAGATCTTTACTATGACCCAGTATTAGCCTCCTACCTAGCCATCCCAATGCACAACTGCCCCCACTACACTCCATTCTCCAAATAACAGAGAGTGTTTTTTGGCTAGATAAGATCATATCACTCTCTAGCTTAAAACTCCATCTGGCCCTTAACCTCTTCTGCCTTTAGATAGTAACCATAAAATAGAAAAACAACATGTTGTGTCTATGTAGCCTGAATGTACTGACTGTAAGAATGCTACAAAAATTTCTGCAAATTCTTATCTGCTTAACTAGCTCCAATGACCCAGGAATTTACAAAATTAGACCTCTTGGGAAAAAACACAACTTTGCTGTGTTGAGTCTTAAAGGAGGTATAAGTTTTCGTCTAGAAGCAAAGATACCAAAGCAGAAATAAGAACACCCAAGTCCTAAACCTACCCTTCTACAACTCAACAACAACAAACACCTTCACCTCCAACCTATCCCTATCTTCTTACGCTTCATGCCCAAAGCAAGAGTGCTTCGGACAAGACCAGGAAAGGCTGTGCTCACTGGTCTTAAACACAAATGGGTGAAGAACAAGGGAAATAATGCAACTGGTTTATTTATTCATATGTCTTTTTATTTTAGCCATCCCGTCTCAGCCAAGGACAGGAAGGATGCCAAGCAACGTGGCCTTGCTCTTTCAACCAACCTCATCCACCTCTGCAAAACTCAATAGGTGCTCTACTGTATGCTCTCCATTCCTACTCTTCAACCAGTCAACACCTCATAGCTTCTCTGGTCATCTCCAGACCCATCAGACGTGCTAATCACTCTTCTATTTCTTTCTATCCTACCTGTTCTCACCCCTTAAGTCAAAAGAAGCCACCATCCTTCTTGTTCCTTCTTGGCTCATCTTCACTACAATACTGCCTCGTTACTCCCTCAGATGACCTCTGGGAATACTTTCTTTGGTTTGACCAGGCCCTAATGCATTCCTCTTATCTTCTTAGACCTGGTCAACACTGTATTAGATGATGCTGTCAAGAAAAAAGGAAGTGACTTAAATCAATCTATATTCATGGGACCTGGAGCCAACCCTTAGCTGTGCTTTCCAGGAATCAAGGCAGAATACATCCACAATCGGCAGCACCTGGGGGTGGCACAGGGTGGAGGGGGTGGTAGGAGGGTGGACAGGTGGATCTGGACTAGGATAATTCACTCTCACAAAACTCTGCACTTCACAGCATTTATCAAAATTATCCTTAAATATGTATAAGTGTGATTAGTATCTGTCTCTTTCTACCTGCACTCTACAGAAGACTCAAAGCCCCTTGAGGGCAAGAACTATGTCTGTCTTAACCATTACTAAATTCTACGCACCCTATATATCCCTGGCACATAGGTCTAACTCAATTACTCTAGCCCTGTCAGATAAAAAAGAATTTAATTTATGCCTCAACAAAGCTCTCAGATAAGGTAGAACTTTCCACATTTCTGGAAAAGCTAATAATAAAAACTAACATTTCTTGAGCTGCTATCAGGGTCAGGCACCACTCTACGATTTTTACATGTGTTCTCATTTACTCCCTATGACATACCTATGAAGTAGGTAGTACCACTATATCCATTTTATGGATGAGACATTTGAGGCACAGAGAGGTTATAATTTGCCCAAAATTATACAGATGAGTGGCAGAGATGGGATTCAAATCCAAGCAGCCTATCCCAAAAACCCACTCTCTTAATCACTATGCTGTAACCTCTCACTGAAGAAGACACCAAATTCTTGAGGACCAATGAACTGAGCCAAATAAAAGATATGATATGAAGAAATGCTATGAAGAAAAACTCAGACATAAAAGTTGCCAGTTCTACATCACAATTCAAAGTTACTATGAATCATTCCAGCACCTGAGCCTTATTTAAAACAATAGTCAAAACAAAAACCATATCTTCCTTTTCAACTGACAGACATAGATGGAGACTGAAACACAGCCAAAAACATTTTCTTCTGGAGCCAGCCCTGTGGCTAAGTGGTTAAGTTTGCACGCTCCACTTCCCTGGTCCAGGGTTTTGCCAGTTCAGATCCTGGGCACGGACCTAGCACTGCTCATCAAGACAAGCTGAGGCGGCATCCCACATAGCACAACCAGAAGGACCTACAACTAGAATATACAACCATTTACTGGGGGGCTTTGGGGAGAAGAAGAATAGGAAAAAAAAAGGACTGGCAACAGATGTTAGCTCAGGTGCCAATCTTTAAAACAAAAAAATTTTCTTCTGCCATCGGATCTGCTTTATAAAAATAGTGTCTACTTTGTGTGCCAAGGTAGGTCCAATCACCAAAGTGGGCCCTAGAGAACTAGATATGTGTTCCCTGAGTTTTCCAGTAAAGGCAGCAGCAATTTGCCATCATCTCCATGGCTTTGTCTTTCCAGTTCTCCCAGCCTGAAATGTGTGAAAATAATACATATCCAGTTTGAATGTCCCCTGCACGCTTTTTTTCCATCCTAAAAATTACCAGAAACCAATGCAAGGCACGTGAGAGGGAAGACAGATCACAGGGGAGGAAGTGACAAGAACAACTCAAATCGTTATGTGTCTATGCCCCAGATGCTTCTATGTCTCAAGCACTCCATGGCCTGCGTCTGAGGCAACCACAAGGCCTTAGGAGTCTGTGACTGCTTCAATTTACGATGCCTCATTAATGCACTACGGAACGTAAAAGGCTCTGAGAAGTCTAGAATTAGAAAAGGAAAATTTAACTCACCTTCCACTGTTCCTCCGGAAACAGCTTCACGACCACCAGATCCCCATTCAAGGCTCTATTACGAGCAACGACCCCATCAATAAAAATGTCTCGATCACCATCCTAAATTGAAGAGAGAAATAAAATACTCAGCTTACCACAGCTTGGAACCAAAAATTACTTCCTTGGTTCAAAGATTGTAGACTCTACCATCTGTCCACTGACTTGACAGGAACACTAGTGCACAGCCACAAACAGACCTAGAGGGAGCTCAGTCTCTCTGAAACCAAGAGAAATGCTGATGAACACACAAGAGTAGGCTAAAAGAACACTTAAAAATCACCGAGTAAGAGAAGATCTACCACAGCCAGGCCAAAACAAACAAAACATAAAGCAAAAGACTGGGATTGCACAGTGAAAGGAGTAGGTTTTCCTTTTTTGTTTTAAATAAAATAAAGCATGATGATACCTCTTCCACACTAACTGAATTTTTTTAAGGGGAAGGGTGAAAAATAGAAGGTTTCCAAGAAAACAGAACAACAACATACAATTCCCCAAGAAAACCAACTGAGAGCAGAAGCAATAAGCAGCTCTAGGTTCTCCAGGAGGAAACCAGCAAAATCATACTCTCCCCAGGAAAGCGGCAGAGAGAGCAAACTGTGGTTGTTTTTACGGAGACCTACGTAGAAGGCAAAGAAGAAAAGGAAAGGGATGGAAGATGAGATTCATAAGGGGCTGGCCTGGTGGCGCAGTGGTTAAGTTCGCACGTTCCACTTCTCGGTGGCCCAGGGTTCACCAGTTCGGATCCCGGGTGCGGACATGGCACTGCTTAGCAAAAGCCATTCTGTGGTAGGCGTCCCATGTATAAAATAGAGGAAGATGGGCATGGATGTTAGCTCAGGGCCAGTCTTCCTCAGCAAAAAGAGGAGGATTGGCAGTAGTTAGCTCAGGGCTAATCTTCCTCAAAATAAATAAATAAATAAAAAGATGAGATTCATAAAATTTTCTCACATTCTACCTCTCTCACTGACTTAGGAGCAGGGTGAACTCCTGACACAACAAGGGTGAACACAACAAGGCACAAAAACCTCAATCACATGCTTACAAACAACCCACTTTAAGCAGTGTAGCCCCAGTGAACTCCCCAGGTATCAACTGCTAAACTTAAATATTAGGGGACAGAGTCTTCCTATGAAGCCAAACTACTTTGCCAGAAACACTTCAATGGAAAAGATAGCTAAGGAAAAGCATGCCTTCAGCAATCAGGTTCCATGAAAAAAATTTTTTGAAATGTTTCATCAACAAACATGCAAACACATACTCTAATCCTTTTATCCTTCCCAAAGTTTATACTACGTACTTCTTTTCAGAGGATAAGAGAGAAGCAAAATGTTAATTTTTCTTAAAAGAGGTAATAGCAAACAGACTTGGAAAGCCAGCACTCAAAATTTTCTAACAGAGACACTTGATAGATATAAAATAGATTTAACACTCAACAGATTTCAGGTGATTACTATGACATTTTAGTTAAAGTTAAAACGAGCACTCCAAATGCACCAACCCCCTCCCCGCCAAAAAATGGGATCCTAGACACTCAGCATTTTTTATAGTTTCTAATTATAAACCAGTAGAGATCTTTTAGAACAGTCTTTTTGTTCAACTTCCAATCTAGCCATGGCTGGCAGCTGTAGGCTGCAGTTTGCCAAACCTGACCCACCCTCACCCCTGAGGAACAGGTACCATGTTAGCCACAAAGACAGAATTACTGCAGTTGACCTCATGACAAGCTTCTCAGAGAAGTAAGGAAGAGGCAACCAGTTAATAGAGAGTGAACAACTGAAGTGTGGTACAACATCATCAACGGCTGCCTTCTGCAATTCATAAAGCAATAGGATCTCTCTGACCTCCCTAGAACGAAGAGAGCGCTGTCTGGAGGTCATCCTAACCCGTTATCATGGTCAAAACATATGCCATGAGATTGCTCTTTCATAAGCAGCTCAGAGATTTAAGATGGTAAGACACTGGTATTGTCATGTTTCTATCCCAAGAAAAATAGGGCTGAGTTGAACCTCAGACAATACACAAATCTATATATACTGCACCACTCCTCAGCTCTTACTTGATTCATTCAGAAGCCTGCATCTATTGCAGAATCTCTTAAAGATGCTAAACTTGGGAACCACTTAATATTAAAAATGAGTCATCCCTCTTAACTACTTTTTAAGGCCAGAGGGTTCAGCCTTTTATTTGAATGCCAAAAGACTTGCTCTAACCATCAGAAAGAATAGAAAAAAGAAAAATGGATAGTGAACAACCCTTGAGGGAAATACAAAGGGATCTGGGGGTGGTCTAACTAAATACTTAGAAGGCTGGAGCGGGGACGACAACCCAAGTCTGCTAGGATGGTCAGAGCATCCTCCATCAATGGAACAGCTCCCTTTCGGCCAGAAATAAACCCCACAGATGTCGAAAGGGTGCCTCCCATGACAAGATGCACAAAAACGTTACAGAACTTCTTCTACCAACTTAATTCAGAATGCGTACTGAGCTTTTAGTAAAAAGCCAGGTTTTTACATCTGATCCATTTCCCCTCTTTATCTTATCTCCAAATCAGATAAAAAGGCATCTCAATAATATCTATTTATTTTGGTTTGCTTGAAAGTCACAAGGTTTTATTCTAACTCTGTATTTTACTGTTGCAAGTTCCAGGAGACTGGCAGGTACACATATAAGTGACTTATCCCGCACATTTTGGGTTTGTCATAAGAAAATGAAAATCGACTTGCTATCAGTAGAAATTATAACGAACCTAAGTCCACTTCCCCTAAAGCAAAGTACTTTTTTATACCTGATGATCAATTCATTGTTCCTAGCCTGCTGACTTAAGTCAATATTTTAACATAGCAAATGACACTGTGTAAGCTCACAACTGTTTTTAGAGTAAGAATAAACCTACATAATTTCATCAAACTAGTCTATTGCTATCTCTCCGAAAACTTTAGAATTTGAAAGTTGTGAGGAACATTAGAGAATATTTAATCCACCCCTCATTTTACCAACAAGGAAACTTTTCTGTTTCTTGTTGTCAGAGCAGTGGCTACATCTTCTTTAAAATCAATTCCTGTCTTTATTCCTCCTGCTGAAGCAGGGGACAGTAACATTCAGGCCCTGGTTCTGACATTCAACCTCCTAGTCTACCTGTGAGCATTTTCAAGTTCACACTTGATATGGAACATGAGCTATGTATACTCAGAAATCCAGACCAATGGTGGGATTTATCTACATGTAATTTATTGCCTCTATTATCTTCTTTTTCAATTGCTTTCTAAAATGCTTCTAAAAACTGAAACTGAGGGGCTGGCCTGGTGGCACAGTGGTTAAGTGAGCATGTTCCACTTTGGCAGCCTGGGGTTCGCCAGTTCGGATCCCGGGTGCAGACATGGCACTGCTTGGCAGGCCAGGCTGTGGCAGGCATCCCACATATAAAGTGGAGGAAGATGGGCACGGATGTTAGCTCAGGGCCAGTCTTCCTCAGCAAAAAGAGGAGGATTGACAGCAGATATTAGCTCAGGGCTAATCTTCCTCAAAAAAATAAAAGAACCTGAAACTGGCCAAAAAGCCACAAAACTAAAATGCAGGATTGTCCCAGTGTCCAAAACCAGAGTATCTACAATCACTCACCACTGGGCCGCGATAGAGCTTTTACAGTCTGTTCTTAATTACTTAGAAGTAAATCATTTGGCATTTTTTCTCCCTTTGAGACAATATTACTACTTCATAGTGGCCAGATAGGGAATAAAAGAGCTATAGAAATAAGCCATCCTAATATCACCACTGTCTAAAAAATTCTAAATAGGACATGCAAGGAATACAATTTCAAGAACAACTTGAGCTCTTGAAACATCAGTAACTTTTGCTTCTAAACTTCCTTTAACAAGCCAGATTAAACAGTGACAACACATCATTTGCAAATTTAAATCACATCAATTTAACTTACAGGAACCTAACTAGGCCCCACACTTTAGAGGATCTCTGCTCTGGCCCTCCTCCAGCCACACCCCTCCCCATTAGGTAAGGAGTTCTCAGGGCCAAATGGATGTGCATTCCCACTTGTACTCAGCCCCAAGCCCACTTCCAGGGCTTATACAGGCATATTCCCCAGGTCTGTCTTCCCAAAGGCAGACCACATAACAGGTGGCACCTCTGGACTTGACAGGTAGCTAAAGGGAGGTATTTCTAAGGGGTACGGACAGAGCTTAGACATGTGGGATAAGGCACCCACATAGGTGCATGCAAAGGCGCTTGCTGAACGAGGGAGCAGCAAAGAGGGGTCATGTAGCCAGGACTGGGAAGGGAAGAGGGGCAGGCCAGAGGTGGACCCTCTCCACGCAGCCACATTTCAGCAGGGAGCTCCAAGGAGTCAAAGTTCTACATTTGAACCCTAGTACGTGGAGCTATATTTGGCAAGGGATATATTTTATTTGTCATGAATGTATTTTACTTAACAGTTTGTTAGTCTGATTTATAATTTTTAAATATTATTATAAGGCATGCGTGACTCTGTTCTTATGTCCCAGGCCCCACACTTGTCGGGAGCTGGCCTGACAGGGATCTAACTTAGAAAAATTCAATACTGTGTACTCAAGGAAGAGAGAAAGGAAAGAGTAAAATTTTCAAAACGCTATATGTACTTCCCCTTATCATTCCAATCAGTGAGAGCAAAGCTCAGTGTGCACGGGAGATGGGAGATTGGAAATCGGCTCAGTTCCCAGGTGCCTCTCAGGATGAACTCATTATTGCACTGGGTGTGATTCTCACGCTTAAAAATCCATGTTTTTCACACACCAGAGCCCCTAATATAATCAAGCTCCTTCAACCAGTATGGCAATGAAGAAACAGTCATTCTTTCTAATGTGGAGAAAATGCTGGTCATGCTAGACTTATTGAGAGATGGTTTATCCATCTCCAACACAGCACATTATTAAGAGATTTTCATGGGTAATTTTTTTGATCACTAAATGTGATTTTCACCTTATGAGCAAACTCTGGAATCTAACACCTATGTAAACTGTTCTCCCACTGTATGACAGAACTGCTTCTGCAGCTAAGTTACTACCTCAAATCTGACCCTCAATTCTACAATCCAAGTACCTGGGTCAGCATATATACAGTCATGGATATGGATACAAACAGGGATATGTTCTGAGAAGTGCATCGTCAGGTGATCTCGTGTCGTGCGAACATCACAGAGGTACTTACACAAGCCTAGAAGGTACAGCCTACTATACACCTAGGCCACATGGTACTAATCTTACGGGACCAGCTGTGTATGCAGCCCATCGCAGACCAAAATGTCATTATGTGGTGCACGACTGTACCATGTTCTGTCATAGGAACAGAACATGATTCAGAGAGAACAATGTGACACGCGAGTGATAGTTTTTATCTAATCCAATGGGTAAGACCTGAACTTGAGATACAAATGTGAATCCCTGGCTTCTGGAGGGCAAGGGAAAACAAGGACTAAACAGAGTTTGAGAAGAGGTTTTAAAGTTATTGTAACAACAACAACAATATCCATAAAGTTCATGACTAAACTTGTATTCTCATTAAACTTGTCAATTCACATAATATGTTAACTAAAATATATGTATTCCATGTCCTCAACTATAAGCAGAAATGTATTCCTATGGTCTCTTCCACTGTGAAAAATCGGTAATTCTACAACTATCCTATTTATGGCGTCCTGGAAAAGTTAGGTCAGGAATTCAAGAATATTGCTCTCCCAGCTTTGCACAATTAAGCCTTATCCAGAAACCTGCTGCTAACTAAACATCAGAGAGAACTTCCCTTAGCAGGAGAGAGCCTGTTAAAATGGGTCATGAACGTAAGAAAGGATATAAAGACCCAACGGTAAAGAGCCTTGTCCTCAGTCCTATCACCTGCTTAAAAGTGAAGTGAGAAACTCGGACCAAAAATAAAAATGCATTATGCATTATTTTTGGACAAATTTTCAGATTAGCTCATGCAGTAGATTGAAAGTAGATACCGTATTTGTTTAGCAAAGATTAACTTAAATCAGTGGAAAACCCATAAATCCCTTTAAGCTATAAACCAAGGGCATCCAGTTACACGAAATGGTGGGTGTCTGCGCGGGTTCAGCTGCTCTCTGCAGCCTGGTAACAAATGCCATCCCTTTCATTTGAAGTGTGATTTTAAGACTGGCAGAGGGAGTTGTTAACCAAAGGCAAATTTTGTTTATTTAAATTTGAAACAAATTCTTGCCCATCCTCAATTTTGTTTTACTACTCTGCCTTTTAGTTTGAATATACGATTTCAGTTTCAGAGCACATCTAAAAAATTAAATGTGACATTAAGTTTATTATAAAGTTATTGAACTTACCGGGGAAGGAATGAAGGCTTCATGAAACTTCTTTGGATTAATTCTCAATATACCCTTTAAAATAAAAAGGAAAATCTGTGAAAATTTAACTAGTTATACACTTACGATTTTTCCATAAGTATGTTATTCTCCAATAAAAAGTTTTTAAATTAATTAAACAGTTCGATTTAGGAAACAAGTTAGATGTATGAGAACTATTCATTAAATGCATGAAACATGATTCATATTGATGTCTGACACAGGGTTCCATCAAAAACTGAAAGCTCACGCCGGCACCTTGCTGCAAAGAGGCAGAGGTGAGAAGCAAGAGCTTGGCATGGAGTAGGAAAGTGAGAACTATTGGGATTTTATGTGCCCCTATATGCTAGTCTTCAAATTTAAACTTTTACTTTAAGAACAAGGTTATCTGGCTATTACGCCTCACTGCATAATGACCTTTTTTATTCTCTAAGACTTTTCCACAATTGCTTGTTTCTGTGACAATTTTCAAAGTGACACAGGTTGATTTCCAACCTGGATACTTAGCCTTGAGGGACTGGATGTATATTTTTTACTCTGGCCCCTCTTCAGAGCTGAATGAGTCAATAATTCAAAAAGGTCCAGAATCAGCTCTTAATGTAAATGGGAATCCTGGCTTCAACAGCCAGGCCACCCAGTCTGCCTTCGACTTCATGTTATTCCAGCACCAAACCAGGGTCTGCTTCTATTTACGCACAGGGGTGCAGGTGGGGGCCGCCTTCAATAGCAGTTCAGTATTTGAGGCTCTTGCAGGAAGCTGTAACCCTCCCCACGTTCCAGCTGCATTTGAAGGCCGCTGGAACTCACGGATGGAGGCAGTTATTTTCCTAAGAGCCAGACTAAAAGCTTGTCTTGAGAAAGTGTTTTAAATAACATTTCCCCACTAAAATGAGTAGAAAGACTCAAAGATACATAATTAACGAAATAAGTGAGGACATAAAATAAAGCAGAAAATAATTCTTTCTTTCATTGGTGCACCATGTTTAAATTACAAATTTCCATGCAACAGTTTATACTACTATTAACATCCTAAGTAGACGACTACAAATGTTCATTCAGTCTTTAATTCCACAATTATTTACTGAATCCTGACTATGTTCAAGACCCTGAGACAGACAATGTGGGAGAGAGAGTGAGGAGCAGGTTCAGTCCTTGTTTATAAAGTAAAACATGGAGAATGCCGTAAGTGAGGGTACAGCTCACTTTCACCAGGGGGCACCAGGAAAGGCTTCAGTGCTGGTGTCTGACCTGGTCCTTGAAGGAGGAGCAAAATTGGCAGATAAATCAGAAGAGAAACACAGGCAGAGACCCCTGTGTAAGCAAGAGCGATTAAGAGGGCAAATACTCTTCTCCCCTCCTGCTGTGCCTCTGCTTAGGGTAAGAGAGAGAAGGGCCAGGAGATAAGGACGGCGAGGCTCCCGAGGTCAGTCCCCTTTTATGAATGTCACTGCAGTTTCACTTCTAGGACAGCTGTTTCTTGCTGAGGGAGGGAAGAAAAAGGCTTATTACATTTATCTTAAATATTCTTCCTCTCGCTCAACAAATACTTCCTGACGACTAGCATGACAGGCACTATACTAATCGACGGGGACAGAATGGAGAGTAACAACAGACAGTCTCTACCCTCTAAGAGCTTACAGTCTAGTGAGGAGAAGACTCTCCAGATAAGTAAAAGTAAATTCATTGAAGTTAAATTTTTTTAAATTTATTCTCTGACTGCAGGCATGTTTTTCTAACCTAAGTTTTGTCCCCCCCCAATTGCTATTCTAGTATCATCCCTTCTAGCTCAGTGAATGTTTAGTACATGAAGAAGTACAGGGATGAGAATGCCTTCCGCTTTGAGAGTACCTTAAGTACAGAGCACTTAGAGAGGCCAAGGCTGAGCTCAGGGGAAAGAGACAGGTTGCTCAGGGCTGTATCTAGGCTCTATTTAAAAGAACAAATATTTAAAGGACCTTAAAGATTCTACTCTTGATTGTCTTTTCCAAACTTCCGGACAGGTAAAAGCACACAGGGAAGGACAGAAGACTTGTAGAAGAAAAACATTTACAATTTGACTGGAGCGTACTCTCCAGAACTGGACCTCAGGAACAGATCCCCTAGAGTGTACAGATCGCACCACGGAAGGAATCTCTACAGAGTTCCATAGCAGACCAGAGACAGCCCCACAGCCTGATGGAAGAAGCTGTCAGTAAAGCATGTCCAGAAATGGTCTTTTAACTAAAAGAGACTTGCTGCAGCTGTTTTGTCTCACCCCCCCCACAGAAGTCCAGGACTTCATTTCCATATTTTTATGAGCATCACCTAATCTGCCCCAATCCTTCATCTCTGCTCTTTCTCCTCAATCCTTTCCCGGGCCTGGCACGTGATCAGTGAGGCTCCTACATCCTCCGTCTCTTCTCTGACTGCTCCTGTTCCTCCCTGCCTTAACTGAAACCTGGCTGTCCCCTGATACGATCACTTCCCTTGAAGTGCCCTCAAAGGGAGCCTATTTTCTCTCTCCTATCCCATGTTTCTCAGGGACCAGAAAAGGAATGTTTCCTCCCTGCTTCCCCATTGTAGCTTTAAAATTATTTTTTTCCTCCCTTCTCTTTCAAAACCCCCAGATCCTTTGAAGTTAATGTCACTAGCTCCTGCTATATCTCCTTGGTCCCATCCTCTTCAAACCTTCTGATCATTTCCCTGATTCACTAATGCTTTGACTCATAGCTCACTGTCTTCCTCTCCACCTCCATTCCTATAAACAGTTACAGTACTTCACATCCATATGGATGACCAGGTAACCCTAACCAGTCACTCCAGCCACCCTGTCCTCCACTCACACCAGCCACTCTCTCCCATGTTCATAGCTGGTATCTTGTCAGTGCTAATCACACCACCTCCAAACAGGAAAAGTCAAATAGCACACTTTCTGATCACAATCTTCTAGTTTCCCAGCTCACTTAAGGCAAAAATTCCATTTCAACAATTCATCGTCTTCAGTAAGACCTCCAACCATGGATCTGACCTCCTTTTTGCAATTCATCGTCTTCCCACTATGTTTATTCCCTTCCTCGGCCAGCTAGTTGCTATGGCCTATCAGTACCTCCTGCCCTTGCAAACCCTGAGCCTTGGGTCCACTCTTCCTCTCATATTCAACTAGCAAAACCTCATTCTCTGTTGACACCTGCCTTCTCCACGCCTACACCTAAGGGGCTGAATGTTACTGTAGAAAAGTACCACACAACTGAGCTAATTAGCCTAACTTGGCAATCACAAACATATTTCATTTGGCTTACAAGATGTTTGAGAATGCTTACAACTGAGGAACTTTACACACAAACATGTATTTCCAGATTTTCTCAAAAAATCAGCTAATCCCACATGGCAACAACCACCAGAGCTGAATAACAGACGCTTCTCTTATAGCAATAAAAAAAATTGTAAATAACACTTATACTGGTATACTACGTGTCACACACTGTTTTAAGAGCTTTATGTACATCAACTAATTTAACCCCAAAACAACCCTATGAAGTAAGTACTATTATCCTCTATTTTACAAACAGAAAACTGAGGCACTGAGAGGTGCCCCCTTTCAGACCACATTCAAGCCCAAGCAGTCTGGCTCCAGAGTCCTTGCTCTTAACTACTGCAGACTGCCTCTCTGTGTGCCACAGGCACCATCAGGGCCTCTGCACTCATTCATGCCATCTGCTTCCTTCCCCCCAAAAACCAGCACCACATCCCAAGCCTCAGTCTTCCCTATCTTGGTTAACAGCAACATCAACCATCCAGGTGCTCTACTCAAAACCTTAGCAGGCATCCTTTATTCCTCCCTTTTCCACATTTAATCTATCTGCATGCCATGCCACTTCTAGCTCCACATTCATCCACTTCTTTCCATCTTCACTGCCACCGCCCTGTTCACGTCTCCATATTTTCTTGCCTGGTTTACTCTGATAGCCTTCTACATGGTCTCCCAGCTTGCACTCTAGTTTATTTGCCTCACAACTGTCAAAGAGATGTTTTTAAAGAATAAAATAGATCATGTCCTTCCACTGCTTAACATCCCTCAGTGACTCCCCACCGTTCTTAAAATGGTGACAGCTGCCTAACTCTCCAACTTGTTCCCACATTGTAATTCCCTTTGTCCAAACGACTTCCTTCTTAGTCCTCAAAAACACCAAGCCTTTTTCTAACTGGTGTTCTTCCACAAGCTGATCTCTCTGCCCATAATGTTCTTTTCCTAATTCTTCAAATGGCTGGCTCATTGTCACCATTCAGACCTCAATTCAGAGATCACCTCCTCAGAGAGGCCTAACCACCTTATGGAAATTAGCTCCCCTAATTATTCTCTCTCATCTTTCTTACTTTCCTGTTAGCATTCGTCACGGGCTGTAATTTTCTCTTTATTTCTTCAGTTGTTTTTGCCTGTCTCCCCTGGTGAATTGCCTATCTTGCTCACCAGTATATGCCTAGCACTTATTGGCAGTCAAGAAACATTTGTTGAGCTAATTAATTAATGTCTGCAGAGCTGAAGTTCTCCCACCACTCCTGTATTAATGTTATGAATATCATCTGTTCCTTCTAAATGACTATGCAGTCCACTGTAATGTCACCTCTATTCTTCTCTTTAATTCACACCCAAATGTTTTCCAGCTGATTTCACTCTTAACAAATGGTGAATGTCCCAGAAACTAGCCCATCCTGTCCTGTCTTCCTGGACTAGGATTTCTTTTGCGGTCCAATAACAACTCTACACCAATATTCTATTCTAAAAGGAACTCTGTCATCATGCCTCAGGCAGCTCTGGGGCTCAGCCTCAACCACGTTTAGCCAAAATATTAGTTCATGAAACCAGCCAGTTCTACCATCTTCATACCCATGTCACTTTGGTCATCACCCAAACCTGAGGCCCTTCCAGGCCTATCCCTTACTCTCATTTCACCCAGCATCTCCTATAATAACCTCCCAATACTGCACCTATGGAGAGAGAAAGGACACATGTTCTTTGCTATGCAAACTTGTTTACAAAATAATTTTCAAAACTACATGTACACGACCATGTCTTATTGCTAGTCAGTTCAAACATAGGAAAGAGATTTTTTTGGTCCCTGTGAACTCCTCTTCCCCACATAGGGCAAAATACCAATGCAATGTCAAAATTATTGGTCAAAGTATAAAAAACAAAATAAAATATTATTCTACTCCTATTTAAAGACACCTCCTCAATATCTCTCAATAAAAGTTTCTTCTCTGGATGGGGAGAAGAAAAAGGAGTCAATATACTTAAGTTTGAAGACAAAAGTTAACAAATGCTTGTAAGTATATCTTATAAGTTCAGTTTTCTCCAACAGCATTCAAATATCTTTTCTTGCCTAGCTTTTCACCTTACCCATCAAGGCCTGCACACAATAAAGTTTGTATCAGAAAGCAGATGGACTCTGTTTCTCTGCCTATGAAAATCTTATTTACAGCGTTGTATATTTCACATGGTGACCTCATATCTGGAACCCATTCCCTTCCCCATCTGCAGAGAACAACTGTTCTCATCTGCGAGGGGAGGCTCTGGCTGCAGAGTCTCATGATGTCACAGGCCAGGAGGAATCACTTACAAACTCCTGGGAATGAGAGTTGTTATATTGATCAGCTTTTTGCTTGGTTTTGTTTTGCTATCAGGAAAGAGTTGCTTCAAAAGTAAAAATTAATAGAAAGGAGCAAAAACTAATACCATTATAGGATATTTCCCTCACCCTATCCCTGTAAATTCTATCAACAAAACTATAAGCAATTTTTCTTACGAGTTATAACAACCAAGGTTCTCCTTACTCTTCTTGAAAGATAGCATGTTGATCCTTTACCCAGTAAATAAATATTTATTCAATATAAACTCACTAAGCATCAAATGCCAGGCATTGGGCTAATCTGTGGGAGTAAGACAGGACCCTGCCCACAAGGAAATGAATAGTCTATCTGAGGAAACAGAAATGCCAAGAAATGGAAATAGGTTTAGAATAAAGGGTAAACAAAGAAGTCAGCTTCAGGAAAGAGGTAATGGCTGATTCTGCTTGGAGAATTAAAGTAAGGCGTCTCAAAGCGGGTAACATTTAGGTAGGGACTTAAAAGGTCAAGTGCAATTACATCAAGATAGTGAGAGAAAGCATTCCAAGCACCAGGAACAGCGTGTACAGTCATAGCAGAATCAAAAAGCAGAGTTTTTATAGGAAACGTTTTGAAGATCAGGGTGGATGGAGCAGAATGCACCTGGAGGAGAGTGGCAGGAGATGAGAATGGGAAAGGCACAATGGGTCCTTGTACGTGAAACGAGATGAGGACCAAGAACAAAATGTAGATAAAACGGAGTTCAGCATGTGCACTGACCGATAACCAGCAAATGAGTGGATTAACGAATGGACAAATGTCCAAGGGCAACTTCGACTGTCCTAAGAGAGGTCTCATCAAAGAAATCCAAGGGAAGCTTTTAAAAAAAAAGCCAATAGTACTTCTAAAATCAGAGAGATCAATTCATTTGTTAAAAAGCATTCTCCATTCAAGAGTCTACATTAATCATATGTGCACTTGACCACAGGTAAATACAATAAGGTGATAAAAAGGAAGAGGAGATGATAGTATCTGTTAATCGGATGGATCTTTAGCCAAAAACACAAATCAGAATGAGAGAAAATGGAACGCAGTCAACATTTTCAAGTGAGCCAGGTAACACATGGCAGTATTTCTATACAAAATCCAAGAATTGTGAAATAGACTTAATTCAAAGAATATGTGTCCCTGCCTCCCTCTCCTCGTTACCTGCTATCTGCCCCACATTTCATGCGTAAGGAGATCTAAGCTGCCTTACTCCATGTTGTTTCATAAGTTCTTATTTTCCTTAGTGCTACTATCTCTCCATAGCTCTTTCCCACACACATATCACCCATTTAATAGGTCCAAATTAGCCATCCTTCTATATCTACTGCAGTTGTCACCTCCTGGAGTTTCCCAGTTCCCCCCAACATTCTCCCATATACCTTGGTCACACTTCTATCTGAGCACTTAGCATTTTTCCCTAAGTCACCTGTTCACGTGACTGCCTGCCCCGGACTGCACTGCCAGCTCAAAGAACAGAAAGGCAGTCTCATCCACCTTCGTCTTGAGAGCACCCATCGGCATGTTCCCAACTATAAACTGCTCCTGGCTCACAGTGGATGCTCAATAAACGTTTGCTGAGCCAAACCGCTGAACTGGCTTGTCAAAGTATTTTGTAAACTATAAAGCACTCAACAAATATTGTCTGCTGCTATTTACTGTTTCCTTTTCAACCTTATTCTCCATCATTCAGCATCCATGTGCTCCAGGCAAACTGAACTCTCAATGTTTCTTATAGCCACACTAGTCGGTCTGTTTGTAAAGCTCTTTCTCTATCCTCACCATTCAAACGGCACCAAGCCATGGCCTGGCTCAAATATTCCCCTTCCAATAAAACATTCCTGGATAACCCTAACTGGAAATAATGGCTCTCTCCCCTCAAATCTCAGAGCATGTTGTCTGTCTCTGTCTTGTGGCACTTATCATCTCTAATCGCACAGCAGGTCTAACAAGTGGAAGGCCCTGTGCCTGTTATGTCATCATTTCTCTCAAAGCACACATCACAGAACAATAAATAATTTAATGAGTAGACAGATTACTCCTCATTCTACATATTCAAGGAATAACTTTCTAGTCTGTTTTAAGCACCTGGATAAGTGTTCCTCTCTTCAAGCCTTCTGAAACATCTTCCTTGGACATGTAGGTTTCAAATATGCTCTTTTTCTTCCCTCGTAGGGACTTGTTCTTTGACTTTTTGTCACCTGGCGAAGCACCAACACCATGTGGGCCAACCACAGAGGACACACCTAGAAACATGAGGCAGCAATCAACTCTTTCCTCAATCAAACACTCTGTATTTTTAAAACTGGAGATATTTTACCTTTTTTTAATTTAGAAGGACCAACAAGAGAATGAAACTCTCTGATAATGAATTCAAATAGTCACAAAAAAGAAAGAATGGGTAAAGGAAACATGAATAAAATATACTTAGACGAGACTTGAGTTTTAAATCAGCATTACAATATGCATGACATAATCTGAATAATAGATTCAGTATGCTTTGCTGTTTATAGACACAAACTTTTTAAAAATAGGAATTACAAAGATTGTCATTTTTCTAGAGGAAATTAAACAGCTGTATTCGATATAACAATAAATTAAGACAACAAGAAACCATACTTAATTCTAGAATAAATAACATGGGAGAATATTTAACAGGTCACGAAAAGAATTAAGCTCCCCTCAATTGTAAGACCCGCCCTGAACCTCCATTCCACTTTGATTTCAGGTCTCCAGTTGCTAGAGTAGATTCCATTTTCCTTTTGTACCTCTGGGGGTCTCCAGGGGCCGGAGTGTCAGCCTGTAGTCAGGATGGCTCATTACTGGTTCCAAGGTTGCCTCTTCTCTCCAATCCAGGAGGGCCTCCACTGCTCAGCTCAGAGTTCTTCCTGCCTTGAGCAGCTCAGTTCTTACTAGCTGAAACCAAAGAGAAATGGGTGACTAAAGACCAGTTAACCTGTAGCCTCTGTGCTCTCAAAAAATTAGTATTTGCATGACAAAGGCAATGTGGTGGCCCTCCTGGGTCCTGGTGTCACTCTCTCCCAGGCAGTTAGTCAAGCGTACCGTCTGTCCTGAGCTTCTTTTCAAGGCCCTCACCCTCACAGGTATCACCAGCCTGCCTGTTTGAGCCACTTTAACTAAAAACCTCCACAAATACGGCAATGAGGCAGAAGTTAAGGAGTTCCGCAGTTCTATTCAGCTTGTGAAATGCACAAGAGCAGGAGGGAATATAGTTTGAATAATAGTATAAAGATCTAGAATCTAAAGGCTCTAACGAAATAAGTACTAAATTAGGGCTCAAGAAAGTGGCATTTACTAAGTTTAACCTTGGATAAATGACGTTACTCTACAAAACCAAGTAAATCAATTCCTTAGAATTCATTAACAAAATCTAATTCATTGCCTCAACCTGAAGTCCAGAACTATGCAGGGAACCCCGACGGTTCACTAGCTTTCAAAAAAGAAATGGCAATATTGTAGTTAGATATCTATTTCCCTTTTCTTACCTGCCATCATTTCAAACCAGTCATCTGACCAGAAGCTCAGGCAGCTGTTCCTAAGGCAGCTGCCTAGATCAGGGGACTGGAATGTGGGGCCATGCAGCTGGCCCCCCTGGCCTTCCACCTGGATACTGAACATGTCATCACAACTTCTACTTTCTACTCTAGGCTGGCCATAAGCCCAGGATTCAAGCCTATACTTGCAAATTTCCAAAATCCTGGTGGGCAGCCTGCTTTCCCATACATCGGATCAAGATGTCATTCTGAACACCACCTTCCATTTCCTCTAAATTTCCCACACATCCTTCACCAGAATGATGTAATTTTTCTTTAAATTTAAATTAATACTAACTCAGGAGAAGAGAAGCAACAGAGACAAAGGGTAACAGGTCACTTAGTGACACATGAAGAGATTTAGAGATAAAGGCAAAAAGTTGCAAGAAGGGAGAGAAACAGATGGTCTTACATAAACAACAAGGTAGTGGGACAGGCACATAGAGGAGTCCAGACCGATGGTTTAATTTGGAAATGCATTCATCCACTCAATTCAACAAATATTTCTGCAAGGTACCGTACTAGGCACAATGAAGAATACAAAAGTTAATTCGATTTACAAAAATCATATTGAAATAACAATATGAGTTGGGAAATGATAAGCAGGATATTTTTTAAAGTATGGGTAAATGTACATATGATGGGAAAATCTCCAGATCACAAAATCTGAGTGAGCTTCAGGAAAGATTTTAAAGAAGAACTGAGAATGTGAGAAACGCATACTGCCACAGAAGGAAACAAAAATGGAGACACAGAAGAACACAGGCAGGTTCTTGCAACATGAATTACACTTGGACAGAGTCCAGCCCATACAAAGGGAGGCAGTGGCAAGGAAATTAAAACAAATTGGAAGGTCTAGAAAACCAGCCCAACTTTTCCAAGTCAGTAGGGAATTTCTGAAGCATGAATGAGCAGAAGAGAACAACGACAAATCAGAGTTGTGTTTCAGGATTAAAATTAACCTGGCATAGGGTTCAGTCATCTGGAGTTGAGAAAGACTAGCAGCAGCTACACCTTAGGAAAGAAGTAGAAGAGACTGGGTGAAAGGAAAGAAAGGCCTGAACTAGAGTTGTACACGCAGACATTGAAACAAAGAAATCCTGAACATGATATGACACAGGACAAACTGGCACCACTTGGCAACCAGGCAGATCTGGAGGAGAGCAAGGAGGTGGCAATTATCTCAGATTTCAGGTGAGGAGACTGGTAGACGATATTGTCACTAAGAGAAGATGATGAATTCTTCTTGGGGTATTATATACCTCTACATGGAAATACATATCTCTATACATACCTCTACACCAAATACTTGGAAACTAGAGCATAACTTAGATAAATTAGCCAGCCATCTGCATAAAGATGGTAACCCAAAGTTTTCTAGAATAGACAACACTGCCAAGAAAGTGTAAGCTGATACAGAAGAGGGCCTAGGACAAAATCTGGGTTAGGGCAACTTTTAGGAAATGCAAAGAGAAAGAAGTAAAAAATATAACAAAGAAACTAATAAAGGTGTAGAAAAAGAACCAATAGAGTTGGATGTTAAGAAAACAAGGGAGAAAATAATTTCCAAAGGAAGACAGGTTTATGATCAGGGTTTGTACCCACTACTAAATAAGAATACAAACAATGGCAGCCTTGGGTGGGGTGAGGAGTTGGGGGCAAGCTGTAAGCAAGAGAAAGACCATCCAAAAAGAAGAGCCAGAATTGAAAACAGGGTGCTTCACGTCAAGTCCTGATGCAGGCAAGAATTCAAAATTAAGGGGAGTAACTGCCAGTTAAGTGAGATCGAGGTACAGAGATCTCAACTCCAACGTCCCTATGTCAGCTGCATCTGTAACATTCCTTAGTGGCAAATATCCCAGTTGGCGTGACCCACACCTAATTTGTCTCCCTAGCTCAAGAAGACAAGGAATGTTTGGTTGGGTTCATCATTGTAACACCACTGGCTCCCATGGTGTCTAGGATGAAACAGGTGCTCAATAATCACTCATTAAATGACTGCATGAGTTTGTTTTCATGAACAAGCAGTGAGAACACCAAGCAAAGCAGAGTCTTTCAGGGAAATCACACTAAAAACTAGTCAGCAAAGAATGGGAAAAGAACACAGGACCCAGGAAACAAAGTTGGCAAGAATACGCCAGACAGCCAGGCAGGTAGTCAAAGCTTGCTTTTAGGTATCATAAAGCACTGGAATGAGATGGAAGGATTCCAATTATATAAGATGCTAATCAGAAAATGAACAAAGAAGCAACCTTCCCTTCCCAGCGATAGAGCTGTGTAGGCCTAGTAACCCTGGAGAAATCCTGGACACTCCTATCCTGACAGATTAAAAGCACAAGTCAATTCCTAATCCTCACCAGCTTCTAGGAGAGCCACTGATATACTGCCCAACTGCCCACTGGCTCCTAGAGAAGGTGTTTTACCATGGAAATAGCTGTACATTCTGAAGAGTTGAACTGGTGTTAGGATGAACAGGCAGTAATAGTCAATAGTGTCACATGGTAAAAAAAAAAAAAAAAAAAAAGCAGGGAAGAGCAGGAAAGGAGAAAAGGCACTAGACTTCAAAGAGCAAATCTGAAGCATCTGGGTCAAAAAAAGTAGTGTCTTGATATGCTTTACATTCCCCAAACCTAGCACAATGCAGAGTGAAGAGCAAAGCACAATGAAGAGTGAAGAGCAAGGGCTCAAAAATTTGAGTAAACAAAGCCTATTTGGGACAGAAACCATGTTACAACAAATATATACCAGTGAGAAATATGAGTAGCAGGGCCAGGACTAGGGTGAGGCAAGCAAGGCACCTAGGATGCAAAATTTACTAAAGCAAAGTCATACAAGCACCAATTCCACATTTGCAGGACTCCAAGAGTGAGCGCTCCTTAAATGTTTGTGTCCCAGGCATCTCATTGCCTTACCCTAGTCTCAGCCCTGAAGAGTAGCAAGAGCTTTATGAACCTGGGTAGTGAAGGAAACTCAAGGAGATAAAGTCAAAAGAGGTTTAAAGAGAGAAAAGGTTGAGCCTATGCAGAAGCTAAGATGGAGGCAATTGAAAGCGAGAGATGGTAAAAAACAGTAAAAAAGGGTATAATTGACAGAATAAAGCAAAAAAAAAAAGGACAGGATTAAAATAAATCTCACCGAAATTAAATAAATAATTTACATTACAAATCAGTAAGAAACATAATAGTCAACAAGTAATGTTAAGATACACTTAACATCATTTTTTAAAAATAGCCAATAGATACTACTTCATAACACATTCTGAAATGAAATTCAGTTTAAATAAAATTTAAATGTTTAAAAATAAGAGAGCGAGAAAGCAGGGGAAAAGATGCCCAGAATAGCCTAATGAGGAGTTTGACAAATATTATCCCCAACAATAAAACTGGACAAAATTATCAAAACCAACCATTTAAGGATCTGGATACTGATTAAAGACATACAACAAATTGAGAAGTGTTTATTCCAGAAAATCTACTGAATCTCAGTAAGAACAGTGGAAGCGTATGATAGTTTAGCCTGGGGCTCCCACCACCCCACACTCACTCCCAATTCCTTGGTGTAGAAGTCCTACCAGGGCAGAGCAAGCTTTGAAGACTGGCAGCTCCAATGCCAGCTAAGTTTATATAGAGCAGAACACAGAGAATTCCATGCCTAGGGGCATTTTCAAAAACAAGAGTGGTTCAAGGGGAAAAATATCAGGGAAGGCCAATATCACAGCTAGCCTGAGTTTGCAACACTAGTTAGGGCAAGCAAAAGATCAGCAGACCAACGCAAAATTTAACAGGGAGAATCGGAATGACACAACCAAAGTGGGCCTTGATTAGAATCTACTTTTTCCTGCTGTGTGCACGCACAACACTGTAAATAGGCAGGAGAGAAACAAGAGTGCCCTAGAGAGCTACTCATCCCTGGAAGAACATAAGCCTTGCAAATACAGAAAGCAAAAGCCAGGGCAGACTTGTAAACTGCCTGAACTTTGAATGCATTCCCCAAGGCTCAGAGGAACCAGTGACAGAGTCGGGGGCTCACTGTCTCAAGGAGTTTAAACACAACCTCTGACCAATCATAGGCTGACCACTAAGATATGCTGACCCAAAGACAATTACTACAAAGTAAGGCTTAAAAATAAAAACAGGAAAGGAAGAACTGAGCAGAGACATCAGCAGCCACACACTGCAGGAGAACCAGACTCCACAGAATTAGCACAGGCAAGTCACTAAACAAACAAGAAGAGCAACCACCTCCAACCACCTCCAGCTCTGCAAAAAGAATCAGGATATAGAATATATATCAAAACTGTCCAGCCTTCAACCAAAAATTACAAGATATGCAAAAAAAACCAGAAAAGTGTGACCCATATGT